TCGGAAACCCAAGGAGGGCTCGCTATGAGTCGGGGCCGACTCGACGGCACATAACAACAACAACAACAATCACCTGTCCTTAGTTTCATTTTTTTTTGTGACTCTGAGATTTTCATAGATAAATTTTGCTCTTTATTCTCAATTTTTTGATCCAATCAAAAAATTAATTGGATTGGAGTGTGTCCTTTAATTGGTACTTTTCCCAAAGAAATTCTCAACTGGGTCCAGTCCTTCCTCCCTTTTCCCCCTCCTTACCCTTTCAGCTGATCCAAATCCCTGTTTATTTCACATTCACATACCAAATTATAAGGGGTAACAAACAGCTCTGAGGTATATTTTCTGGATGCTTGGGCAGTGCTTTGTCTGGTTCTGTATTTTTCCTCCCCTTGTCTTTTTTCCCCTCCCCCACTTCTAAATGGGTTGTTCCCAGACTTGTTTACTAGGGTTAGAGAGCCAGAGGCTTAGCTAACATATGTGAAGGTGGTGCCCTCTGGTGGAATGATGTGAGAATTACCAATCTTCCCCATAGCTTGAGAATTTGGAGTGGGTTTTTTTTTTTCCGGACTGGCCTTCAAGGGGCTCTTCTCTCTATTACATATTGAATATGGTAAGATATATAGGGAGATCTTCCACCTCTAAAATATCTCCACTGTATCTCTCCAGAAACTAAAAATTCCATCATGTTCGTCATACATTTGTTGAAAACGCACAGTGGCTATGGAAGCCCCCAGGTAGGATGCAAGTTTATTAACCAAACTGGATATTTAATAGTATTATCATGTTGATAACAAGAGGTTTGTTAATCATCCTAAAAGTTGGCCCTAAATGACTAGAAATGGCATTTAACAGTGTGCTCATCCATCATCTACCATAAATGTGTACAAGAAAGGTGAAAAGTAGGCGGGGGGGGGGGGGGGGGGGGGCTGGGCAGAGGCTCCCAAGAATGGTGATTGAAAAGAGTTTAAAGTACTAAGAGAAAAGGGTAAATGGGAAGGATTAGAAAACTCAATCACAAAAATAAAGAAAGAAAAGAAAGTCTTATCCCCAGCCCTTACTGGGACCTGAGCCCAGAAATTTAAGACCCAGCCAGACATCTAGAGTCCGCCAGCCTCTCAGTCAAGTGGAGACTGGAGATGCGGTGAGGGGAAGGGTGGGAGTGGGAAGAAACAGAGGATGTGGTATAAGTACACCTCTTCGGAAGCCTAAAGTGTTCACAAAGGAATCCTAGTGGCACTGTGGTTACTGCTTGGCTGCTAACTTAGTTAGTGGTTCAAACCCACCAGCCACTCCATGGGAGAAAAGACCTGGCAATCTGCTCCTGTAAAGGTTTCAGCCTAGGAAACCCTATGGGGCAGTTCTACTGTGCTCTGTAGGGTCATTATGAGTTGGAATTGACTTGAGGGTAAAAAGGAAAATAATTTTAAAAAAGTGTTCTCACTGTTCTACTTGTCCAGCTATGCCTTCTGGCTGACCTTTTTTTTCTATTTTTAACAATTTCATTTTCAAGCCCACTCCCTTCCCCATTCCCACTAGCAGAGTCACAGTGGGCCAGAGGACACAGCACTGGCTTGAGTGGGACATACCTGCACTTAAATTCCTGCCTTGCCTTGTACCAGCTGTGAGACTTTAGGCTAGTCAACCAGCTAAAGTCCCAGTTTTCAGGAGGTCCTTACAGAACGCTTCTGAGGATTGAAAAACAGGAACAGAGTAAACCATGTAGAAACAGGCTAGTGGATTTTATTATGTCCAAGAATGAGGAAGAGAGTGAGCCCATTACTAAGATGATGAGTCAGGTTTTAAGACTGTTGGTGTCTCCCAGAGGGTTAGCAGAAGCTGTCCTGGCGGAACCATGTGACTTCACATTTAGAAAGAACTGGGATGGTATTGGTGGGGATTCAGAAGGCAAATAAGCTTTTATTAAACAGGCGTAAAATTCTCACAGTCCACGCAGGAGACCTGGGTTCAGTTACTTATTGGCCAATCTGTTAGTAGAGCCTTGGGTGCTGCTATGATGATGAACAGGATTCAGTGGAGCTTCCAGACTAAGACTTGGAAGAAAGGCTTAGCGATCAGCCAGTGAAAACCCTATGGATCAAAAGAGTTTGATCCAAAACTGATCGTGAGGGTGGCACAGGACCAGAAAGTGTTCCCTTGTGCATTGGGGTTACCATGAGTCAGGAGCTGACTAGATGGCAGCTAACAATATGTTACCTAGTTGGAACACACATAGGAAAATATATAACATGGATATGGCAAAGTTCCTATCCTTGAAGAGCCTACCTTTTAGTTGGTGAGAAAGAGCTCTCCAAGGGAAATGATTTGAGGAACATAACAAAGCAAAGTGTATCAGCTGTATGGGCAAAATAACAAGGCAGATTCAGAACGAATGCCTAAGAATTCTAGACAAAGGAATGAGTAAGAGTTCTTTGGAATGGTCAGTGGGGTGGTGGTAGGGGTGGGTTTTATACTGAGACCCAAATAAGATGGTGAAAATGTGATTGTTTTCTGTGAGATGCAAGGGAGTGAAATTTACAAAGCCCCAAAGGTAGGATCTAGTAAATTACATGTGCAAGGTGGTGAGGGTGAGCTCAGAAAGCTTTGGATGGAGTAGGAGAGTAATAAGGTAGAAAGTTGGAGAAGTACTAAGCATTTGGATTCTGTGAAAATCTCAATTATGCACATTCAAAATGCTATGATATTAAAGTATTAATGTAGCCTCACTTTATGTGCAAAATTTGAAATGGAGCTAAAACATAAATTGGGAGGAAAAGGACAAAAAACAAATTTCAATCTAGAGGTCTGTGTAAATTAATTATAAGTTCTGTTTACGCTTTATGTTTATGCTCACTTTAGTACCCACTTTTGTTTCTCAGGATTAGACTTAAGAATGATTCCAGTTTCGAATTGTGAGAAATCTTTATTCCAGTTTCCAATTGTAAGAAATCTTTATTCCCTCAGGCAATCGATGACTTGTTCTTGGGGAAGCTGGCCACAGCCTGGCTGCTGGACTCTGTTCATTGCCCTTCCTAGGCTTCCCTTATATGCGTTCTCTTCCTACCATGGCTTTTCTTAAAAGCTTCCTTATGTTCCTGCTTCTCCTCTCTCTGTTCCCCCTTCAGCCCCATCAACAACCCTTATCATACCCTTCTCTCCCCAACCAGAAACCAAAACCAAACTCACTGCCGTCAAGTCGGGTCTGACTCTCAGCGATCCCTCCTAGGGTTTCCAAGGCGGTGTCACTACAGAAGTAGATTGCCCAATCTACCTTCTGAGGAGTTGCTGGTGCGTTTGAACCACCAGCCCTCTCCCCAACTCAATAGTAATTAGAGGCTCAGGAACAGGGGATGAACCAGCAGATGGGGAGCAACTACTCTCCTTGGGGCTATTACCTTCATCAGGGACCAAAGAGAGTATAATGCATATGACTGAGAGACCCCACAAGAGAAAGATGGGATGGCTGTGCCAGGCATTCTAGATCCAATCTCAGGGTGAGCTCGTTGTAAGTAGGAGAGCCTGGTCATCTTTCTCCACTTCCTGCTCCACTTCCTGCAGCAACTTATAGAGGGGTCCTGGAGGGTTGGTGTGATATGGCGCTTCTTTGTACTTCATCAGCTTCAAGCTAGGACTGTAACAACGATACCAAAAGGAAGAGAAGCCATAGATCCCTAAAAAGCATAGGGCGTTGATCATCACATGCCAGCAGAAGAAGGTGGTGACAAACATGATGTCACTCATGTCATCGTCCTGCCATGGGTAGCTCGAGACTGGTTTAAACAGAATAAAGCCTGCCTGCATCAGCCAGGAGCCCATCATCAGAAACAGAAAGGTCTCGATCAGCCAGAGATGAAACATGCCAGGAGCCCACAGCTCTGCAGTCAACACCAGCATCAGCAGGAACACCACCAAGATGAGCAGAGAGTGGACCTGCAGCTCCACCCCTGCTGTGCCCTGAGTATGTGACACCAACAGCAGCAGAAGCACGTAGAAGGTCAGGATCCGGACACCAAGCTCCAGGACCACACACCTCTGAGGCAGCAAGTTCTTGCTTAGGATGTCTACACAGCCGTTGATGGTAAGGAGGATGAACATGGTGAGGTGCTGCCATTCTTTGGGATACATAAACCTTGGTGGCATGTCCCTGTTCATCAGTATCAACCTTCCTTTAATGCAGCGGATCTCATAAACTATCAAGAGGGAGCCAGTCACCATCTTCAACAATCCTCCATAGGATATTTTCCACAGTATGGCCCATCTCCCCTTATTCCTAGGAGGGCATGAAGTACACAGGAGAGAGTCATTGAATATCACAGCTTTGGAGACAACTATTGCCTGATGCAGTCCATATAAGACAAGAAACAGCCCAGGGTACACATGACCAATAAAGTTTCCCATTGAACTACAGGTCTGTCTAACAAAGGAGAGACAAGCAAAACTCAGGCACAGCCACACCTTCTGGGTCCACTTCAAGGTCTGGGCTCTGGGGTTCTGGGAACTTCCTTCCACCTACTTTTATCATCTCACCCTGCCCACTGCTCCCCGACAGAGAGGAAATGATCTTGAGACATGCCCACACTTTTGGTGAAGTATAGTCCAATTGTTCCATTCCATTCTGGTACATTTGGCTTCTGCCAAAGAAATAAGTTGATGAAGGTGTGCCTTTGGGCACTCCTCTGTATGGCCCTTGAGGCTGCTTGGGCACACTTGTGCCTTTATGGCTTCCTTCTTTCTTTCCTTCCCTGGGCTCAGAGAAAGGGAGAGGTGCATGGACTGGGGCCACTTGACTGCTAACCAGAAGGCTGGCGGTTCAAACCCACCAGCCACTCCTCAGAAGGAAGTTTGGGCAATCTACTTCCGTAATGATACTGCCTCGGAAACCCAAGCAGGGATCGCTAGACTCGATGGCATATAACAACAGCAATATGGTTCCAAGTCAGTGCTGGCTACAAGAGAAATTTGCATGAGTATCCAAAGAAAGCCAAGGACACTAACACATTCCTGACTATCCTTCAATACTTCTCACTCATAAATTTGGTCCAATTGTGGGGTCGGCCATTTTCTTCCTGATCACACAAATTCATAAATATTTGGGTATGTGCCTATATAACATATTTACCTATATACATATTTACCAGCCATCTAGTTTTCTGTTTTTCTGTGATATACATTTGAAGACCACCTAGAAAACTTCCCTCTCTTTCATGCTTTCATATCCCTCCATCCTCACGTCACAATCACCATTGACCAGTAAGTGGATTTGAGAAGCTACATTTTGAGATTGATTTTAGGGGTTGTGGTGGTTTTCTAGTTGATTAACATAACTAACCTTGAACCATGTTTCCCAAATTGCCTTCTCTATATGGGAGCTCTGGTAGCATAGTGCCTAAGGCACCTGACTGTTAATCAGAAGGCTGATGGTTCAAACCCACCAGCCACTCCTCGGAAGGAAGGTTGGGCAATCTACTTCTGCAGTGATACTGCCTCGGCAATCCAAGGAGGAGTCGCTATGAGTTGGGTCCAACTCGATGGCATGTAACAACAACAATATGGTTCCAAGTCAGAGTTGGCTACAAGAGAAATTTGCATGAGAACCTGAAGGTGGAAGGGAAGCAGTGGTGTACATTTACTCTTAAGTAGTTTGTGCATGCTGTTGATGATCTGGTGGCTCACCTTGTTGGTGTGGACAAGAGCAAGACCTGCAGCTCTCCAGCCTCTCTTAGTGTGAAAGGCACCAGCTTCTTCTGTAGGTCACCTATATCATTGAGGTGTGAGGTGGTGAGAGTCACCAATTTCTTCTCATGGGTCAAATGTGTCTTGGCTCTTCCCCACTTCCTGTGAAGTGTTCTTCTCATCTGCTGCCACATTTCCCTGAAGTGATCTTACACTCACCATAAGGCAGCAGAAGTGATGGCCTTCCTTAGACTTCTTCACCAACTCCTACATAAGCATAAAATCTAATCTCCATGACAAATCCATATTCCATCTCACTTATTCCATTCAGATTTCAGGATCTATCCCTAATTGGTACATGGAAGTAAGGTGTAGTTTCTGGCTAAAATGTAGGTACTATTGAGGAGTTCTGGTGGTATAATGCCTAAGACATTTGACTGCTAATCAGAAGGCTGGCAATTCCAATGCACCAGCCACTCCTCGAAAGGAAGACTGGGCAATCTACTTCCATACAGATACTGCCTTGGAAACCCAAAGAGGGGTTGCTATGAGTTGGAACTCACTCAACTGCAGTGAGTTTTTTTTTTTTTTTTTAATTGAAGAGAGTAACTCTTGAGAGCTAATATTGTCCATTTATATTTAATATGAATTATTCTATCAGCTTTGCTTATCATTTATTACCTGATTAATGTCTACTTCACCTAGAAAGAAAGAGTCCCAGGTATTGTGCAACAGCCTGTTGAGTATTAGGCAAAGGGTAAGGTGGAGAACAAGGTTCAGGAAATAGGAAGCACGCCCAGGGCACATAAACCCAGGTTCCGAGTTCATTGCAGAGGGTACAGGGAATAGGCATTTGTCTGGGAATGGTAGGTTTGCTGAAGGGAGAAGAAGTTCATCACTGAACATGAGCTGCTGATTTCAGTCTTCTCCATAATCATCTGTCTTCATTGTATAAGCAGTGCTATAGTTGCTGACAGTGCCCCCACTGTAGAGGAGGACAGTTTACACCCAGGTCCCAGCACTGCCTCTGAGCTCTCACTCTCCAAATATCTACTCTTTCTCAGATGCTGTAATGCCAGAAAAATGAACTCTTCTCTGCCCTTGAGAATGGCAGCATAATTCAGATCACTTCTTGCAATTGAGAGAACTGGTAGGATGGGGTTTGAGTGTGAAGGCAAGTAGGAAAAAAAAAAATCGAATTCTGCTTTCTGAAGGAAGATCCTTTGCTTAATTTAAAATTTAATTTTGTTGTTGTTTTTAGGTGCCATCAAGTCATCTCCGAGTCATAGTGACCCTTTGTACAGCAGAACAAAACTGCGCAGTCCTGTGCCAACCTCACAATCCCTACTATACCCAAGCCTATCGCTGAAGCCATCATGTCAATCCATCTTGTTGAGGGCCTTCCCCTCTTTCATTGACTCTCCACTTTACCACACATGATATCCTTCTCCAGAGAATGGTCCCTTCTGACAACATGACCAAAGTAGTTGAGATGAAGTCTGGCTATTCTCGCTTTCAAGGGGCATTCCACTGCACTTCTTCCAGGACCATGGAACTTTCAGCATTTCTTTGCCAACACCACAGCTCAAAAGCATCAGTTCTTCCTTATTCATTGTCCAGCTCTCACATGCATATGAGGTGATTGAAAAACCATGGCATGGGTCAGACACATCTTTGTCTTCAAGGAGACATCTTTGCTTTTCAGCACTTGAAAGAGGTCTTTTGCAACAGATTTGCCCAATGCAATGTGTCTTTTGAAGTCTTGACTGCTGCTTCCATTGGCGTTGATTGTAGAACCAAGCAGTGTGAAGTCTTTGACAACTACAATCTTTTCTCCATTTATCATGATGGTGCTCTTTGGCCAGTTGTGAGGATTTTTGTTTTATTTATATTAAGGTGTAATCCGTACTTCAGACTGCAGTCTTTAATTTTCAGCAGTAAGTGCTCCAAATCATTCTAACTTTGAGGAACCAAAGTTGTGTCGTCTGCATATCTCAAGTTGTTAATGAGTCTTCCCCCAATCCTGATGTCACGTTCTTCTTCATGTAGTTCATCTTCTCAGATTATTTGCTCAGCATACAGATTGAACAAGTATGGTGAAAGCATACAACCCTGATGCACTACCATTCTGATTTTAAACCATGCAGTATCCCATTGTTCTATTCAAACAGCAGCCTCTTGGTCTATGTACAGGTTCCTTATGAGTACAATCAAGTGTTCTGGAATTCCCATTCTTCTCAATGTTATCCACAATTGTTATGATCCACACAATCAAATGCCTTTGCATAGTCAATAAAACACAAGTAAACATCTTTCTGGTATTCTTTGCTTTGAGCTAAAATCCATCTGACATTAGCTATGATATCCCTCACACCACATCCCTTTCTGGATCCAGCTTGCATTTCTGGAAGTTCTCTCTCTAAATACTGCTGCAACCATTTTTAAAATATCTTCAATAAGATTTTACTTGCATGTGACATTAATGATATTGTTTGATAATTTCCACATTCTGTGGGATCACCCTTCTTTGGAATGGGTACAAATATGGATCTCTTCCAGACAATTGGCTAGGTAGCTGTCTTCCAAATCTCTGGGCACAGATGAGTTAGTGCCTCCAACATAGCATCTGTTTGTTGAAACATCTCAATGGGTATTCTGTCAATTCCCAGAGCTTGTTTTTCACCAATTCCTTCAGTGCAGCTTTGACTTCTTCCCTCAGTACCACTGGTTCTTGATCATATGCCACCTCCTGAAATGGATGATCATTTGTAAATTCTTTTTGGTACAGTGAATCTGTGATGAAGTTGTCAATCCATCCACCTTCTTATGATGTTTCCTGCAATTTAATTTGGGGTGTTTTTATTTAATTAATGTATAGCCATTGTGGAGGAATTAGGTGAAGATACATAAAATGACCTCAGACCCATGACAAAGCAGCAGAAGCAATGGCCTTCCTTAGATCAAAAGAAGGAGGTTACAAATCACCTGTAACGCCACAACCTGGAGGTGACCCTTGTTACCAGTGAGATGTAGAAACACAGTTTTAAGAAGAGAGCATGAGGAAGAGGCGCATACATAGAGTGAACATTTGGAAATCTGGATTCTAGTTTTTGGTTCTCCTTTGATTTGCTAAATATCATGCCTCTTATCTACCAAATGAGTGTTGGCCTTAGTTTCCTCTAAAGTGAAAACAAAAGGACATGGATACTGTTGCACAGAAGTGAACATGTTTATCTCCTGTCCCTCTCTCCCTTTTGGTGAACTATCAAAGCACTTGGGAAGCACTGTAGACTGAATGCTCGGAGGAAAGAGATTTTCTTTTTCAAAAGGAAAATCTGAGAGTAACATTCATCTGAAATAAGTCAGGGAAGAGATAACCACAGGCACACTTCTTGGTTCTTGGCTTCACTCCTCTAAGTATCTGTCGCCAGAGCCAGGCCGGACAGCACATGGTTTTCCAGGCTGCAAAGAGAAGTTACATTTGGTCACTCTTAATGTTGCTTCTAAGAAACCCTGATGGTGCAATGGTTAACTGTTCAACTGCTAACTGGAAGGTTGGCAGTTTGAACCTACCTAGTAGTCCTGTAGGAGAAAGACCTGGCAGTCTGCCCCCATAAAGAATTCAGCTAGGAAAACCCTATGGAGCAGTTCTACTCTGTCACACGGGGTCGCTATGAGTTGGAATTGACTCGATGGCTGGCACCCAACAACAGCATCTATAATGT